GGACCTGAGTGTTAACACTTCATTGTCTGCACCCCCGCGTGCAAGCACACACACACACACACACACACACATCCATTCAAGTGTTCGTTCCACAGCACAGAAGCCGTTTCTCTCTGTGAACTGCGGAAACTCCGATGCTCACTCCTGGATTCTGTCTTCAATCTTAAAGATTGTGGACTAGACAGTGTGGAGGGATTGATAGGATGTTAAAAAGGTGGACATTGAAGGCCCCGCCATGTCACACGGCGGGCCCGGTGGAAGTCAGAGAGCATGAACTTCGAATTTGCTCCAGCTACTTGTGACAGTGTGGAAGGGGCGTAAAAGGCAGGTGTTGGAGGCAAGCGAACCTGGGAGGATGTGGTGGGTCGAGCCAAGGTCAAAGCATTACGGTCAGCAAATGTCAGAGAGGGCATGTCACACAGGGATCAACTGGGTCCCTGCCAAGGGAGCTGACAGGCTGAATGGATTGATACGGGGACAGAGAAAGTGAGGCGAGGTCTATTACAGCGAGTCCCAGAAGCTTCTAGTGTGTCCCCACACTGCCACTGTGTCTCCACTGCCACCCGAGGCTGCCCTCTGGTTGGGCTCTCAGCCAGCTCTATCTCTGGGCGGCCCTCTCAGCACAGCAGGTGTGGCTCTCCCTCCGAGTGTCCCTCTGCAGTTATCATAGGGCTAAAGATGTCAGTGACAAGTCACCTAACACTTGGGGAGCAGATAACATCCAGAGAATGTAATTCTTAAGAGCCTGCAAATTCTCTCACCTTTCCTTTAGCTAAGGCTCTTCCCCATCTCCATTAACAGGGTGAGCAGCACTTGTGAGGGAAAGGAAGACCCGGCCCAGGAGGCAAGTAAGCACTAAATCCCAGCCCCCACTCAGTGACACAGGAATAGTTTTAAGCGATGACAGTTGACTTTTTGCCCCTGAATTACAGAGAGGTGGGTGGATTCAGACTGGCTTGAGAGGAGGTAAAGGTGGGCTGCTGTGCTCTTTTCTCAGGACTATTACTCAGGAAAAAGAGAAAAGATAGAAAAACCTCCAGTTGGGGCTGCAAACAAATAGGATTTGCTTATTTATTTATTTATTTATTTATTTATTTATTTCCCAGTGCCTTAGTCAGCTTTCTGTTACTGTAACAACTGAGATAAATAAACTTATGAAGAGGAAAGGTTTAGTCTGGCTCACAATTTTGAAGGCTTTAGTGTGAGAGGCCATCTTCGCATGTGATTTGAGTTACCTCCCTGGCTGAGTGAGAGGCACTTAGACACAGCTGTGTCAGAGCTTTCCCCACCCTTTCCAAGGTCCGAGGGCTTGTCCGTGCAGAAGCGTGCCTAGCCACTACCCCGAAGACCCAATCGTCGCCCCTGACCTTGGGATGCTGCCCCCTTAACCTTCATTGGATGGGATTTTCCCCAGAATTTTTTGTTTCCCAACAAAAGTCCACTCCCCGGCGTGTTCTCTCTCTCTCTCTCTCTCTCTCTCTCTCTCTCTCTCTCTCTCTCTCTCTCTCGCCTCTTCAGTAAACCTCGCTACTGCACTTGGTGGCTGGAGGCTGGAGCTAGGAGGAGCCGTCCTGGAGCTGGTTTAAAGGTCATTAGAGTCTTGTCTCTTTAATTTAAAACTCCCTCGCGGTTTCTCATGACTGGAACCTTTCTTTAGTCCTTGATGGATGGGCCCCACTGCTTTGGGCCTATAAGAGCACATCATGGCAGGAATGTGGAGCAGAAGCCCATTCACCTCACAGCAGCCAAGAGGTAAAAGAAGAAGAGAACACCATGCCACAACCCCTTTGAGGTCCTGCCTGTGAAGACCTGAGATCTCCCGCCAAGCCCCACCTCTTAAAGTTTCTAAGCCCCCTCCCAGTGCCACAATGGGAAGTGAGCCTTCACACACATGGCCCTCGGGGACATGCCTAATCCAAACCAGCACCCTGTTAAATCTGAATTTCAGATAAACAACAATTATTTAGAATAAGTGATAGGCATATGATGTTTAATATCAGTATATTTATACTAAAAAAAATATTCACTGTTTATCTGAAATTCAAGTTTAACTGGGCATCCTGTACCTCACCTGGCCATCTGCTCTCGAGTACACACTAGAGAGGAGGATCGGGCTGGATTGAGCCTTTTAACGGAGGAAGCTCCCTCAGTGTCTACACAGGGTGGTTGGTTGCACAGAAAGCCAAAATCTTCAGGGGTCATTCTGAATATGAAAGAGAGATAAACATCCTACTTAAAGATGAGAGAATTTGGGCTGGGTTTATGGCTCAGTGGTAGAGTGCTTGTCTACCACATCTGAGGCACTGGGTTTGATCCTCAGCACCACATAAAAATAAAATAAAGATATTTTGTCCACCTATAACTAAAAAATAAATATTAAAAAGACCTGAAAAAAAAGATAAAGGGGGGATAGGAAGGGCAGCAGAATAAAATAGACATTATTATTGCTGTATGCAAAAAAAAAATATTGGGGACTGAAAAAAGATGAGAGAATTCAAAACAGTTGTATTACACATACATATAAAATACATTATATTATCTAATGTGTATAATAGGCATGGTTTATATATGTGCATATATATGTATAAAATACACACATGTATCTATAGTTATGTGAATATATTACATATGTGTATTAGGTTTTGCTCTGCAGCTAAGTTACGAATTGCTTTATGCTCTCTCCATAAAAGCAGACACAAGCTCAAGGCCTGAGTAAAAACAGCTGAGTTTTGTCAGTTGCTCTGGCTCGGGGAGAGCGTTGGATGTGTGCTTTTAACTTACGAATCTGTACAGCCCATGGTTTCCATGATTTTGCCCATCACAGATTAGGGTTCTGGGAGGGCAGAAGCCGGAGAGCCAATCTCTGAATTAAGTACATTCCTGAGGCCTGCGCATTTACCACAACCACTTTTCAAGGAACGGTAACATGAAACACTGTGGGCCCAAGAGGGGACCGACACGGAGCACCCTGGTCACTATTTATTTTGTCTGAGTGGTGATAAAAAATCAGGTCATTCTCAATCATAGAAACACAGACCTGGGCATAGTGAAATGTATGTCATGTTCTCTGTGTGTGATTTCTAGCTGTTTTCCAAAGCAAGAGGAGGGATAGCAACCAACTCCTCTACCCCAGGGAGCACTGCACCCAATTACTGTCCACAAACCTAGGGAAAAAGAAGGTCAACAGCGTAGCGTTCTTTCTCCATGCTCTGTAGGAAATTCTGAAAGACCAGCAAATGTCAGCCTGCAATTTGGCCATAATCACAGCTCTGAAAAGGAGGAAAAGGGAAGTCTATAAAAACTACTGATGGCTGAGAATAGAGCTCAGTTGGTAGACTGCTTGCCTCACATGCACAAGGCCCTGGGTTCGACCTGAGCTGACAGCTGGTTGCAGACTGACTCTCTGCTGCTAAACATCCCATCTCGGCACACCTGAGCATCTCACACCACAAGGTCCTAAGAGGACTGGGCAACTTGGAAGGGATGATACACAGGCCCAGATGGTGCACATCTGGCCAAAAATTAGGAAGAGAAAGAAATCAACTTCTCAAATCCACAGACAGGTGTTGGGGCTTCCCAGGAGACCTGTTTATGAAGGGCAACCGGGATGGTTCCAAACTGATGGTTAGTTAAGGAAGAACAAAGGCCCCTGGAAAATGACAAAGAACTGGTACAGCAACCAAACAGGTGGCAAGAGTATGCCTACCGCCCACCTTCTCTTGATAATAGCATCATTTCTAAGACATTTACATTATTTAAATTATTGTGACCAAGACATCTTTAATAATGCACCAAACAGCAGGCACCAGGTTAAAATCAATTAGACTCCACTGCTAAATTACAAGGGAGAAATTTACAGCAGAATGGCTTTGGGGTAGAAACCGTAGGAACACACGCCTGCCAGAGACGATTACGTTAGGAAGCAAATGGGTATTGCCTCCATTTACACAGCAGAAAAGACGGCCAGGTGCTCCTAAATATAGGGCAATCATTTTTTTTTTTTTTTTTTAACGTGGAGCCCGTTCTCGGGGCAGGAAAGCTTCTGAGTGGCCAAGAAAAAGACCATGGAGCTAGGTACATGAGAAAAGGCAATGGGGATGGGTACAAGAGCAGGGTGATGGCGACGGAGCGACGCAAAGTCTGGTTTGGGAGATTTTCTGTGCAAACACAATTCAGCAAGTGGGGCCACCGTGAGCCCATCTGATGGGCTCTGCCGCCGGGAGGGGGACGCCTGGGCTCTGGCTGCGCCCTCAGCTTTTCCCCGGATTTGGGCGTGTCTCCGCAGTACCCAGAGAGTGACAACCTAGGTGATGTGACGCTACAGACTCCCTTTTGAGTCCCAGAGCGGCCCCGCGATGGCAAGGCGGGTCTCCGGCCGCAGCGCGTGGGCAGCACGTGGAGGGATCCGGCCGCGCGGGGGCGCAGGGCGCAGGCGCGCTCGCGCGCGGAGACTCCCGGCCGCCAGGGGCCGCTGTGGCGCAGTCGGGCGGAATCGCGGGCGGCGCCACGACGCGCGGGACCCTCTTGAGTACGGCCCTGCCGGTTTAGCGGGGTGAAAGGTTGCGAAGATGGCGACGGCCTTGGGCGAGGAGGAGCTGGACAATGAAGACTATTACTCGCTGCTGAACGTGCGCAGGGAGGTGAGGCCCGCGGGGCGACGCCGTCGGGGTTGCGGCTGGCTGAGCGGCTCTGGAAGGCCGCGCTGGCCACGCCCGCCCCGTCCGACCCCGGAGCCGCGGCCTGGCCGGAGCCCGCGTGACCCCGCCGCCGCGCGCGCTCCCGCCGGCCGCAGCCCGAGCCCCGCCCGAGTCCCGCCGGCCCCCGCCGACCCCCGCCAAGCCCCGCCAAGCCCCGCCAAGCCCCCGCCGCGGAGCTGGTGGTCCCTGTCCCTGCCTCACTGCCCAGGCCGCCCGCACGCTGCTTGCGCCCTTCCAAGGCAGGGCCGGGGGCGCGCAGGGGACGGGCTCGGGAGCCCCGGGGTGCGTGCCCAGCCCACGTACCTGCGCTGGCCCTGGAGCCGTGTTGTTGCCCCGAGCCCACAGGACGATGAGCTGAGGCTCGGACACCAAGGTCACGGCCGCCAGGGGGCCTCTCCAGGCTTCTGTCCCGGCCCCAGTGGGAACGTGCAGCCCCTGCAGCGAGGGCAGCCTTGGAAGCGGGCACCTCGGGCGGGCTTTGCCCCTGGGCAGCTGTCAAGACAGGGGAGGTCAGCCTCCCGTCCGCTACTCAGAGGCCGCGGGAGAGCTGGAGCCCACAGCCCGGAAACAAGTGCCGCCCAGGCCTCGACTTCGGCACCCAGACCACGTGCTGATCCCCTGTTCCTTCGCTAGCAGAAATGAGTGCGAGGGTGTCTCACTGTCCAGCGGGCATGCATTTGCAGAGCATTTCTTTCCTTGGTGACTAGACTGCAGTTGAGATCGGGCTTGAAGGGCAGAAAGGCTTCCAAGGTCAGGTCATAGGGTGCACCGGTTATCCCAAGCTGCTGGGTCTAGACTTGACAGCGCTACTGGAGAATCCCTGATTACATCTCAAGTTTTCTGGCCCTATGCAACGCCTGTCCGCTGTATGTGGTGTTTGGTAATGTTTCTTGAGTACTCGCTTTGTGCAGGGCCACACTTCTGGATGAACACTTCCTATTACGTTGTCTTGCTTAATTCTCACGGCTGCACTTAAGGCAATCCCCATGATTTGTACTTGAGGAAACTGAGGCATAGGGAGACAATTCACCCAGTGTCACACCACTAGCAAGTGCAGAAGCAAAACTTCAACTCTGGACACTGTGACTGAGGAGCCCCAGCCTCGGTTGTGTGCTGCCACCTCGTTGTCCAGGTCTCCAACAACACAGCCTCTGATTTTGGTACTGTGTTCTTGGGCACCACACCTGAGCATCCTCCAAATGTCTTAGTCACTAGTATGGAAAGTCTGACAAAATATTTGGGGGAGTAGTGGATCTTGTTAAGCTACTGTGAGGCGTCTAGGGGTTCCTGTTCTCAGTATGTAACAAATCAAAGCTGAGACTTTGGGTAAATCACTTCTTTGGCCGTCAGTCTCTTTCCTGTGGAATGAGCTGTCTGGCAAGCAATTTTTCCTGTTCTTGGGAACAAAGCACTCACAGCCTTTCTTAACCACTCATTCATAGTCTTCAGCAATTGACCAACCACTTACCTGTTTTCCAGGCTTACTGAACTAAAGCAGCTGTAGGGGATCGTAAAGACATTTGCCAAAGGTATAACTTGAAACTGCTAGAATTTTAGGGGTTGCCTTTGTTACTGGATTGATGAACGGGGAACCAAGGAAATACTTATTTGAACTTGTCCTTGTGAGTGGAGGCGTTTCCCATATTTATAATTAGGTATAGGTGAAGCTTTTATGAAACGTACTTCTGTTGCCCTTGTTGACAGGCACAGTGTTAAATGTCATCATCAGGCTTGGTGTGCTGTTCTTTTTTTATATATATATTTTTTAAATAATTTTTTGTAGTTGTAGATGGACAGCATACCTTTATTTTAATTGTTTATTTTTATGTGGTGCTGAGACTTGAACCCAGGGCCTCACGCATGCTAGGCAAGTGCTCTACCACTGAGCCACAACCCCAGCCTCCCGGCTCTTTTTTAAAAAGATACACATTTTTTATATTTAGAGACAGGGTCTTGCTAAGTTGCTGACTGGCTTTGAACTTGTGGTCCTCCTGCCTCAGTCTACCAAGTCTCTGAGATTACAGATGTGTGCCACCATGTGTGGCTCTCATACCTTCTTTAGCAATATCCTTATTGCCTTTGTAAGAATTTCATTTTTTGGGGGCTGGGGATGTGGCTCAAGCGGTAGCGCGCTCGCCTGGCATGCGTGCGGCCCGGGTTCGATCCTCAGCACCACATACAACCAAAGATGTTGTGTCCGCCGAAAACTAAAATAAATAAATAAACATTAAAAAAAAAATTCTTTAAAAAAAAAAAAAGAATTTCATTTTTACAGTGTGTTATGTTTATACCCTGTTTTAAGATCTGGTCCCTGATTCAGGAGGCTGAGGCTAGAGAATCACACATTTGAAGCCAACCTGGGCAATTTAGGGAGACCCTGTCTCAACATAAAAATTTAAAAAGGCTGGGTGTGTAGGTCAGTGATAGAGCCCATCTGGGTTCAATCCCTAGTCCCAGAAAAAAAAAAAAAAAAGTGTGTGTGTGTGTGTGTATCTCCCTGCATAGTTGACTTGGGTGAGTCAGAGACTTTGCTGTAAGTTGAGGCTAAACAGGGAGCAGGGTACAAGCTCAGGAATAATTAAAAACAAACAACCAAACAGAACAGTGTCTGGGATAAAGGTAAACCCAAAGATAAAGCTCTGAGTTGTTGACTCTGAAGGGGCTATGCAGGGAGGGGAGGCAACAAGGAGCATGGGGACTCCAGGGTGACTAGGAGACAAGAGTTCAGAGAGGCAGCCTGTAGTCTTGCCTGTGGACAGAGAAACAGCCAGTTCCAACATCATCACAGAGTGATTAACAAGAGATTATACTTAAAAATGTGCTTCTTTAATGAACCATGAACCACTTACTACCTTCCTGCTCTGGGCATTTCAAGCAATTGCTTCTTGAAATTTCTCTGCTCTAGTTTTGCATTAGCTACCAAAACACATTTATAGAGACAGGGCCTCGCCTTTTTTCCCCCCACTTTCTTTTTTAAAAGGAATTCAGTAGAAAGCTTTTTGTATGTATTACAAATTTAATAACAAAACAGTAGAAAAGACCACCAAGCAGCATGTTTTATGTGGCTATGGAATTTGGGTGTTCAATTTTATTAAACTTTCATTTAAATTCTACTTGTTTTATTTATACACTGCCTTGTATAAGAAAGGATGTTAAGACGTGAACAGATGATAAAATGATAACATGCCTTTTTAAAGGGGACACATACTTCTAAACAGATGGCTGTGGGAATAGTGTTGTTTTATGCCTCTGGGTGGCACTGAGGTTGATCCCACTCCCCGGAGAAGCCCCCAGCTTTCAGAGGCCTCCCCTGGGAGGATAGCCTGGTAGAAACGTTCCCGACAGGCTGCTGGGCTGTGGGAGCCTCTTGTGCATGTGGCAAGTGTGCAGTGAGCCTTCTGTAGCTGATGAGAGCCAGGAAACCCTTGCTCAGTAAAGTGCCAGTTCAGTAGAGATGGAGTGTCAGACCTGCGTGAGTGGCAGGATGTGTGCAGGTGGACATGCCAGGGAGAAAGGTGCCTAGTGGTAGAAAAATGTTTCCTAAGTACTTGAAATGACCTCTAAGGTAGTATCAGAATTTCAGTCTCTTGTTTTCAGAGGTCCATGCTGGACAGGATTCCCCTTTGCCCTGAGAATCTTAAAGATTATTTTTCTGCCTTTTTATTTTTGTCACTACTGATTGCCTAATTTTTATTTATTTTTTTGGAATTTATATTACCATCTTGGGGTTATTTGTGAGTTTTTCTTTTAATCTAGATTAAGTAGAAATCAAGGTTAAATAGAAGTTACTTTATTTGAACAATAAAAAAAAATAGTTTATTTGTAAAAAAAAAAAAAAGAAGAAGAAGAAGAAGTTACTTTAGTGTCAAAGGTTCTTCCTGGTTGTAGAAACTTGGAATTGTCTGCCCAATCCCCTGTTTAGCTTTTCTGACTCATTTTGTGACTCATGATTTGATTGTTTCTCTTCTAAGCTCTTACCTTTCCAGCAAAGAGTCCCAAAACAACTGTAGGAGGCAGACTTCCAAAATCTTGTGAAATGCAATCTGTCCACCTGCAGCCTGGCCTCAGCATAGGGAAGGATGTCTGAAATGACAACTCGGCACCTTATATATTGAGCATTTCTGACATTTATTGAAATGGCCAGATGGTGGTCGAGTGCAAAGAGGCCTTGTGACAGCCATGGCCTTAAAGAGCCCAGCCTTCGGAGTCAGGGCTCAGTTTGACCTCCTAGTAGCCTCATCAGGGCAGTTACTTAACCTCTCTGAACCTGTTTCTTTCCATAAAATCCAGACACTTTCACTGTCCACAGGGCTGTGGGCACATTACTCTGCAAGTGCCAGTTTATTCTTATTAGTCTCATGAGTGTGGGAGTTAGTAAGGAGTGCTCTTATGGACTGTGTAAATAATTTGGCTGAGTCCCTCGTCTTCTCTGTGTAGTGTGTATGTCTGTCCCCTCTCTGCAGACTTCTTTTCACTTTCGTGAATGAAATTTGTTTACAGGCAGGCCACACGTATTAGTGTCTGGCCAGCTTCCAGGTCAAGGATCCACACCCAGATAAACTTTCTCCTCCGTGTTGAACAAGTCGTTTCTTTTTGCTCCTCAGTATTTTTATCTGTGAAAATGAGGGTTCTGATCCCAGCACAAGATTAATGAGTGTTAAGGTATCAATGAGAGGGGACAGCAGTGAAGGCATTTGCTCTGCTGTAGCTACCAGCACTTCTGTGACACCTCTGACAACTCAGCTCTTCTGCTGCCGGGGTGCTGTCTTCCCGCCTTGCCAGTTGCTCATTCTCTGTCCTCATCAGGTACTACTTTCCTGGGGTTAAGTCCTCACCTCCTTGGCTCTTATTAAAATCTGCTTTATCCCTGAATCTCTGCCTTCTGAATATTTCTCCCCAAGCCCAACTTCCTTCCACTTTCTCTTTAACCCATACCTTCAGCCAAAAATTCAGAACACTCTTATTTCTTCTTCACCGACATTCGGAAATTGTAGCTTTCCATCATCCCTTGGCTTTTCGAGTCCTCTCGGGGGTTTCTCCTGCTCTTTTCTCCAGGTCTCTCCAGCTTTGGTTTTAGTGAAGCTATACCAAGTCAACATTAGCAAACAGTCCAGAGCACGTAGTTTCTTCTTTTTTTCCCTCATTGCTGAGGATTGACCCAGCCTGGGCTTGTCATTTCTATACCCAGAAACCATGTGTGGCTTCTTCTTGTTCGTTGGGTAAGGGTCAAACTCTTTGGCTCCATTTTTGAAGCCCTTGCAAGTCATACATTCTGTGCATTTTCCGTCTGCTTGGTGGGGAAGCTGTGCTCTGTGTGGTCCTGTACCAGGACCATGTGTGCTTCAGCCTTGTATCCACTCCCTGCACTGGGCACACAGTAGGTAGTCAATGTGCTATGGAACAAGGTTTCCACCAACCACAGGACTTCTAGTGACGTTGCACCAGAACATGGTTACCTTAACGACACATTGCTCAGATCATGCCCCTGCTGCTAAGCAGCGAGTGACTATACTTAACAGGTGTTTGCAGAGTGAGCGAGCAGTCAGGGATGTCAAGGTCAGCTTTCTGCCTGCTCATTCTCCAGTCTTG